AGCAATAACAATCTCTTGATGCACATCTATAACAGGTACGACAGGTAACGATTTAAACTCTCTTCAACAGCCTTCCTCGAATCACTCGGTATATACTCAGTTCACGTCTGATATGCCATTTTATTGCAGTGAAATGGATCCCTCACTGACGTCGCGCCATCCAAATCCGATGCTGAACAGCATCGACGACAATATGTTGAATTCGCAATTATTAGGAGATATTAAAAATGAAGTAAGCCATTTGTGATCTTCGGAACATCTCACAAAAATAATGACCGTGATCAATTTCTTTTGAGATGCGCCACGCATCCCACTTCTGCTTCAGTGTCGAGTACGTAAAGCCTTGGGTGATTCGGTCGACATTAACAATACTCGATTCGGTATATGACCCCAAGTCGTTCACGTAGTAAGCAACGTCCCACGCTGAACGCCGATGCCTAAATCAGTGCATTTGGGGCCACCTAGCTAGAGCACAGTCCAAGGGTAAAGCCCCGAACCACATTTCTCGTAGACCAGCTAAGATCTTCGTCCCTCAGAGATCGGTTATTTGGTACGAGAGGATAAAAGCACTGACCTGTGCATAGGTTTACCGCGCAAGCATTTGTACAGGCTACACCACATTTAAAGGCAGGGAGCACAGTATTTTGTTGCCTATCAAATATTTAGCGGAGGTACCAAATGATGCGAAAATGAACGAAAACAGGAAAAAAAGGTCAGAAATCCGAGGTATAAGACTCTCATTCTGCTTGTTCACTTTGGACGAGTTTGTGGTTTACATACTTTGGGTATGGGCGCTTTGATAGACAACGGGAGGTGAAGATTAGGAGATGTGGCCGTTTGGTACAAAATGCGCTTCTAATTAAATTTAAACTTCAATGAGAACGTTGTCACAACGGCAATGGCCTTGTGGAAGCTAAGCGATTTTTAGGTTGGTGCAACTATCCCAGTTTCGCAGCGAAAACGTCATATCTCATTTCTTGTGTGTAGGTATACATCTATGGAGCAGATCCTCATTATCGTGTCCACTGCTATAAGATGCCATTATATTTCGCAATGGTAGTAGAATGCGTGGCGCGTCATGAAATGGGACTGATCAAGTTTGGACTACCATATACCATACCATGCAGCTCGTGTGGTTTCGGCCAGACAATATCGGCCACATTCATTGATTTCAGTCATCGTTGGGCGGAGCAGCAACAGCACCGATCAACGTGCACCTGCCAATGCAGCTTAACATGCTGAACTTCAGGCCGATCAATCCCCAACAGCTGGTGAGATTCAGTTGTCAAATCAGCATTGCGGCCAACGAGCAGCACGATATTGAGCGTGTGTGCTGAAAATAGCAGGCAATTCCGGTGCCGATTTGTTCAAACCTTTGATATTCACCTCCTTTCAGCCTTCCGTACATCATCTGACGTCTACATCGTTGCCGGTTTCGGTACCAATGGATTACAGTATCCACAATGAGACGCCAAATGTTGCTCATCCGCAGTACATTGTCACCACTCAACCGGATATGATGTTACCGCAAGGCATCGGCTATCAGCATCACGGGGTAATTGATAGAACATTATTTAGCTAACAGCAAAAGCGAAAGGGGGCGCTATCGTAGGATACGGGGGCATCTCTTAAGACAGTCTAGGAGGGAGGATGGATCTTTAGGGAAAATGAAAATCGCTCACGAACCCTAAAGTCTGTCCTCCCCGCCTGAGGTTGGTCTCCTTTTTCAAAAAAGAGGAGACGTTTCACGTACTTTTAAGTGCCTTTCCACCGTCCCCGTATCTTGTGATAGCACCCAAAAAGATTTCTTGAGTGCTTAAGTGAGTTACTCGGTCAGAAAGCGCTTAAGCGCGGGGAGATTGCAGGGGTGGATCTATTATTGATTGCTTCTTTCAGACCCTAA